AAAAAAAAGGTGTTTATTTATTTATTTATTTTTCTTTTGATTAAAACTACAGGTCCAACATTACAAGCCCGGTTTAACACCAAATAAACCAGCCGATTACCGGTTTTTCCTCACCAGCACCGCATCAATTATTCTGATGCATGGAGCGGAACAGAGCTCTGGACATAAGGCTTACAAACTACCCCATAATCAGCACAAATGCCCAAGTCCACCAATCTGCACGTGCCACAATCGTAAAGCAACACTTTACGTTTCATGTCCTGCACAAACAGCTTATCATTCTCCAATAGGCCCACGACACGATAAACAACAAAAGGGATCTTGAGTTTGGACTTTAGAGACCACGACTCATCATTCCACACCCAAATTTCAAAAGTCGAATAAGGCACTTGAGCGGCATTCTTAAGGAAAGCCGAATAAGGCACTTGGGGATTATCCAATTCATCCGTTTGAAGAAGAATAGCAAGCGAGCCATCAATCTCAACAAGAAGATAATCGGTTGCTCTAAATCTAATCTTGTCCGGCAAAGGAAGTACTCGACGCGAAAACTTTTCAGTGGCAAAGTCGAATGAGATGATTGAATTAGGCCTGGAACTTAATCCAAAGTAATAAGAACTGCCTATACGAACAGATGCTCGTTCATCTGGCATGCTCTCATGCTGGTAAGGATACTTGATTTTACTCCAAGAACCAGTTTCGAGTGAGTACAGTTTAGCACTCAACTTCGGAAAATCTTCGAAATCACAGTAGTCTATGAGAATATCGAGAATCTTATAGCCACGAGGCTTGGCGGGATCAAACCCCAAGCCAGATAAACCTCCTATAATGTCACTACATTTATGATAGGGAGAAAAAGGAATGGTCTTTATCGCTTCTTGGCTAGTGGGGTTCCAAAGAATATAATTTTTCCTTGCGCCTCGTGCGTAATAGTCCCAGCTGCACACCAACATCAGCTCATCAATACTGGCGGCAATATTATAAGTACCACCCAACAACGCCTTAACGGGTTTAGTGATTTTGGGCGTGAACATAATGAAGTTATTCGAGCGGAGTTCATCTACTTTCCACGAGGTTTCAGCAAAAACTACCGAAAAATAACTGATTTCCTTGAAAACGTACATGAACAGAAACTGCATCTTCTTGTCGTTGTTGGTGTTGGTGTTGTTTTTGAGTTCGATCATCTGAGGCTCATTTGCTGGGCTGTCAACGTGAGACTCGGCCGAGGTTGAGGAGAGGGAATTGAGTATGGATTCGGCTTTGGCCACAAAATTCGTGTGCGGATCAAAATTTGTGAGCGGAACAGAGCTCTCGACATAAGGCAAAATCCAAACAGCCTTAGAATCAGCACAGATGCCCAAACCCGCCAATCTGCACATGGCACACTCGTAAAGCAGCACATTGCCTTTCATGTCCTGCACAAACAATTTATCATTTTCAAAGAGGCCTATGACATGATCAACAGCAATAGGGATCTCGAATTTGGACTTTCGAGACCACGACTCATCATTCCACACACAAATTTTGAAACTGGAACAAGGCACTTGGTCAATATCTGAGACAACATTCGTCGGCAGAAGAATAGCAAGCGAGCCATCAAACTCAACTAGAAGATAATCGGATTTTTTAAATTTAATCTTCCCCGGCAAAGGAATTAGGCTAGGCGAAAACTTTTCGCTTGCAAAGTGGAACGAGATTATCGAACAAGGCCTGGAAATTAGTCCCCAGTAATTAGTGCTGCCTACACGAACGGATGCTCGTTCAGTGGGTATGCCCTGCTGGTAAGGATACTCGATTTTCCTCCAACAATCAGTTTCGAGTGAGTACAACTCTGCTCTGAACTCCGGAGGAGCTTTGAAATCACATTCGTCTATGCGAATCTTGACCATCTTATAAGCCTGAGGCTTGGCGGGATCGAACCCCAATCCAACTACCAGATCTTTAAAGCAAAGTTCATAGTAAGGGAAACGAGGAATGATCTTTATCTCCTGGCTAGTTGGGTTCCAAAGAATATTGGAGCTGCTTTTTGTTTTTCTGTTTTTATGCATATTTTTGAGCTGAGAGTTTTGTTTTGAGCTAAGGGTATCAGACCTAAAATCGTTTTTTCACATGCTATGTTTTCTTTTCTTTTCCGCGCTTTTCTTAAGGACGTTGCGACGTCGTTTTGGCCTTGTATGGGCCCTTGTATAAAACCCGTATTATGTACGTTCTTCTTCTTAGTTTTTGAATATAGAAAATGGAGTTTTCCTCCCCAAAATATTATGCTTAAATTCTTCATGGTATCCAGAGCGTAGATTCTGGGATCTCGCTAAAATCGGTGATCGGAAAGTAGATCGTGCAGTCGATTGAGCTCAATATTGAAGATGGAAGCTCGAAAAAACAATCCATGGCCGCTATTAACTTCGAGTGCTGAAACATCGATGAAATCAAACGATTCAGATCCGTTTCAGTTGCAGAGCTCCGATCATTCTGGTTTGTTGTTAGTCTCTCATCCACTAACAGGTAACAATTTTCTCTCATGGAAACGATCAGTTATCATAGCTCTAGGTGCTAAGACCAAGCTCGGCTTTATCGATGGAGAAATCGTACAACCAAATGTTACTGATGATAGCTATAAAACCTGGAAAAAGGTCGACTGGACTGTGTTATCCTGGATCTTAAATTCGTTATCTAAGGACATAGCTGAATCCTTTTCGTATGCTGAGACTTCCAAGGAACTTTGGGAAGATATCTGTGAGCGCTATGGAGAAAACAATGGTCCGATGAGGTACAAACTGCAAAAAGAGATTTCCAGCCTGAATCAGGGAAATTGCACTGTAATGGAGTACTTTAATAAGCTGAAGAGACTGTGGGATGAATACTCATGTGTAGTACCTGTTCAGTGGTGTGGGTGTGAAAAAGGAAAATTGGCAGCACAACATGCAGGAGAGACTAAGCTCATTCTGTTTCTAATGGGGCTCAATGACAACTATGATGGATTGAAGAATCAGATAATGCTGTTGGAGCCTCTGCCAAGTGTAAATAAGGCCTATTCAATGGCCTTAACAGCTGAGAGACAAAGGAGTGTACAGGGAATTTATGGAGAAATGATAGATAATGCAGCAATGATGGCAAGATCAGAAGGGTATGGAAGAGGTCAAGGAGGACAGAACAAAGGGAATAATGCAGGAAAACCTTTTAACTCTGGTGGACAATGGAATGTGGGAAAAGGAAGAGTGTTACAACAGAATGACAAAGGAAGAAAAGGCCAGGCTGGTGTGTGAAAAGTGTGGTATGAATGGACACAATATTTCCACTTGTTTCAAAGTACATGGAACACCAGACTGGTATAAAGAGTACAAAGAAAATCAAGGGAAGTCTTATGCTAACAATGCTGAAGTATACTATATAGAGGATCAAAGATTCAGAGGCAGTAATAGAGAAGAACCCAAGGATAATGATTTATCAGCAGTCATCAAGCAATTGCAGGAGTTAACTCAGTATATGAAGAGAAAGGAAGAGTCTGAAAATAAAGTGGACTATGCTCAATTTGTGAGCTTTGCAGGTGAGAATAAAGCTGAAAATACACATTATGCTCTCACAGTTTTGGGAAATGGAAGTGAGGATAAATGGATTATTGATATAGGAGCTAGTAGACACATCTGTGTTAATAAAAACCTTATGAGGAATTTTACACACACAGGGAAACCAATCTATATATGTCTAGCTGATGGTACCCTTAAGAAAGTAGACATAGAAGGAGAAGTTCAGATCAATGAGCAAATAACACTGTACAATGTTCTCTACATGCCCAGTTTCAAATACAACTTGCTTTCAGTGGTGCAGTTGTGTAAGAACAGTCAGATGAAGTGGGTTTTTACTGGAAACTGTTGCTATCTGCAGGACCAACAGACTGAAGCAATATTGGGACATGGAGATCAGCTTGGGCATCTCTACATATGGAAGGGTAAATCTGAAACACCTCTTTACTGCAACTTGTCATTTCAAACTTGGCATAATAGTCTGGGTCATGCTTCCTTTGGTGCTTTAAAACATTTGAGTTTCTTGAAGAAGGATTGTACACCCACAAATGAAAATTTGCTTCATTCTTGTGATGTATGTTTTAAGGCAAAACAGCATAGACTCTCTTTTCCCACAAGTAGTATTCAGACTGGTTCTATTTTTGAGCTAGTTCACATGGATATATGGGGACCTTGTAAGGAAAATGCCATTGTAAACACTCCCTACTTTCTTACCTTGGTTGATGACTTTAGCAGAGGGACATGGGTGTTTCTTATGCAAACTAAGTCTCAGACTAGTAAATTAGTGGCAGATTTCATCACAATGGTGAGTACACAATACAACTGCAAAGTTAAGAGGGTAAGGTCAGACAATGGTAGTGAGTTCTTAGAGAAATCATTATTAAACTTTTTCACAAGCAATGGGATTTTACATGAGACAACTTGTGTTTACACTCCACAACAAAATGGTGTGGTGGAGAGAAAACACTGGAAATGGCTAGGGCTTTGATGTTTCAAGGGAATATGCCCATGAAGTTTTGGCCTTTCTCTATCTTGACAGTAGCTTATATTGTAAATAGAATCCCTAGTGCAGTATTGAATTGGGAAATATCTTTGAAAGGTTGAATGGTAAGACACCAGATTACAGGAGGTTGAAACCTTTTGGTTGTACAGTTTATGCTGCTAATATAATGCCTCATAAGGCTAAGTTTGAAGCAAGGGGTGCCAAATGTGTTTTTTTGGGATATGCAGCAGGTAAGAAGGGGTATCAACTTTATAATCTTGAAACTGAAATGTTGAATGTGGCCAGAGATGTAGTTTTTCTAGAGGAAGAGTTTCCTTACTCTTCTACCACACCAGCCATGAAGTACAGTCTGCCAAAACCTTTTCAAGAGGATGAACCTTACATTGCATCTGGTGATGAAACATCTCCAACAATACAGCTTCCAGAACATAATGATGAAGGAGTTTTAAGAAGGAGCACCAGAATTAGACAAAAGCCTAAATGGCAGGAGGATTATATCTGTGAGGATGTTTCCCTGCTGAATTCATTATCACAACCAGCCTATGAAGTTTTCATGGCTCAAGTTAACATGGACAAGGAGCCTGCTCACTATTCTCAAGCAAGTAAGCATCCTGCATGGGTTGAGGCCATGCAACAAGAGTTAAATGCATTGGAACACAATCATACATGGGAACTAACAGCTTTACCTGAAGGGAAAAAGGCAATAGGGTCCAAATGGGTCTACAAAATAAAAAGAAGAGCAGATGGATCTGTAGAGAGATTTAAGGCCAGGTTAGTAGCTAAAGGATATAACCAAGTTGAAGGTGTAGACTATTTTGATATATTTTCTCCTGTGGCAAAACTTGTAACAGTTAGACTCTTCATTGCAATGGCTGTTCAAAGACAATGGGAATTATATCAATTGGATGTCAATAATGCTTTTTTACATGGCCACTTAGCTGAGGAGGTCTACATGAAACCACCTTTGGGATATGATAAAGCACAGGAAGGCCAAGTATGTAGACTTGTAAAGAGCTTATATGGTCTTAAGCAAGCATCAAGAGAATGGAATAAGGAGTTGTGTGAAAAGTTGGCTTCTTTTGGGCTCTTACAATCCAGTTCTGATCACTGTTTATTTACTATGAGGAGGGGACAAGATTTTTTAGCTGCTCTTGTTTATGTCGATGATCTTTTACTCACAGGATCAAACTCACAAATGGTGCAAGATTTTAAGGTTTTTCTTGACAAGGCTTTTACTATCAAAGATTTAGGCATAACTAGGTTTTTTCTTGGAGTTGAGCTATGTGTTATCATCCGACTCGGCAAGACGCTGTTAAGAGGTTTTAAGCATCCTATTAAATGCGATTAAACTGTCAAACCGACGTAAATCAGAACCGCACCGATCTACACCAAAGAACCGGTCTGAACCACCAAAGACCGAAGTGATCAACGATCACCGAGGTCAACATCCACCGAGGACCGAGGTCGTCACCTCCTTAAGCAGGTGACAAGGCATCTACGAGGGACTCTCCTGCTCCACAAGATCTGTCATCATTTACGTGGGGCCCCCCTGCCTCAAACCGCCCATAAAAAGCCACTTTATTCAAAAAGTAGTACACGAATCCCCATGTGTCAACCCGAAACTACTATAAATAGTGGACCTATGACATTTGTAAAGGGGGGGGACTTTCTTCAAATTCTCCGAATTGTAAACACTTTACAAAGCAACACGTAAAAGCCCATCACGGCTCTTCACCTCGGTTCACCTCGGACCGGGGCCACTGTCGATCTAATCTTACATGCTTTACGTCCAAATTATTCAATATTATCCACGTAATTACATGTTCTATCGTTGTTAACAATCACATAACAACACTATGCAGAACAGATTATGGTGTGTTTCTATGTCAAAAGAAGTATATCTTGGATTTATTGGGAGACATGGGGATGCTTAATTGCAAGCAAGTTGCTACTCCTTTTCCTCATGGCTTAAAACTGAGAGCTCAGGAGAGACAGCCTGTTGATGAACCTGAAAAATATAGAAGACTCATTGGCCGACTTCTTTGCCTAAATATGACTAGACCTGATGTTACATTTGCTGTTCAGCAGTTAAGCCAGTTTGTCAATGCTCCTTATAGTACTCACTGGGATGCTGCCTTGCATGTTCTTAAATACCTTAAAGGAACTTCTTCTCTTGGGTTACAGTTTACAAAAGGAGACAGTGATGATCTTGTTGCCTATAGTGATGCCGATTGGGCATCTTGTGGAGACACTAGGAGATCAGTCACGGGGTACTGCATCTTTCTTCGGCATTGTTTAGTTTCTTGGAAGACTAAAAAGCAGCATACAGTGTCTCGCTCTTCAGTCGAAGCTGAATATCGAGCTCTGAGCACAACAGTTTCAGAGTTACTTTGGCTCTCTTTTGTGGCTCGTGATTTGTGTTTCTGTTTGACTTACCCTATCATTTTGTGGTGTGATAATCGTACAGCTCTTCACATAAGTGCTAATCCTGTGTTTCATGAACGAACTAAACACTTAGAAATTGATTGCCATTTTGTTCGAGACAAATTCAAGGACGGCTTTGTGATTCCTCGTTTTGTGTATTCTAAATTGCAGCTAGCTGATCTTTTTACCAAAGCACTCACCGGCGGTCACTTCAAGGATCTGGTTTGCAAGTTGGGCATGGCTCTCTCGACCCGATGCTCAACTTGAGGGGGGCTATTGGAGCTGTTTTTTGTTTTTCTGTTTTTATGCATATTTTTGAGCTGAGAGTTTTGTTTTGAGCTATGGGTATCAGACCTAAAATCATTTTTTTCACATGTTATGTTTTCTTTTCTTTTCCGCGCTTTTCTTAAGGACGCTTCGACGTCGTTTTGGCCTTGTATGGGCCCTTGTATAAAACCCGTATTATGTACGTTCTTCTTCTTAGTTTTTGAATATAGAAAATGGAGTTTTCCTCCCCAAAATATTATGCTTAAATTCTTCAAAGAATAGTATCTCCCCGCAAGTCTATACGGTCCCTGTTCCGCACCAACATCAGCTCGTCGACACTGGCAGCAACATCAAGCTCAAAAATCCCGATAGAGGGTTTGAAGCTTTTGGCCGTGAACTTAATGATGTTATTCGAGCGGAGTTCATCTACTTTCCACGAGGTCTCAGCAGAAATTACCAAAGAACACCTGATTTTGTTGACAAAGTACGTGAACAGAAAACGGAGCTTGTCTTCATTGTTTTTGGGATCGACTGGAAAACCCCGAGGCGCATGTTGAATCTTGGATTTAACATGAGACGCAGTCGAATACAAGGTTGACGAGAGATACTTTAGTTTCGATTTACCGTCCGCCAACAGAATTGCCATGTCTCTCTCTATATATATATAGATCGCCCGTTGGCCGGAAAAATAGCAAACAAGGGCCAAATGCCTAGCGAATGCGGCGAATTTAGAGTTGGTTCTATGGTTGATCAGTTGATGTCAAGGTATTCTCGTCTCTGATGGCCGGAAGAATATCTGAACAAGGGCACAGCCGCACAGCGAACGTATCCTTAAACCCTTTGTATTTCTTAAACCCTTCGGATACAAGATATTTTTTATTTTTTTTTTTCCTCATTATTTTCTCTCATTTTTGTCTCCACAAATTTCATTAAGAAATAAACAAAGTTGTTGTCAACTTTACATTAATAAATATTTATTTGTTGTGTCACTTTAGCTGGATAGACGAGAAAATTGCAATTGTAGTCCAGTAACTTAGGTTGTTTCCCATTTTAGTCCACTAACTTAGGTCGATCCAAATTTGATCCAAAAACTCCCAAAAGTTGGTTAAATCAGTCCAATTGGACTAAAATTAGACTGAAATTAACCAATCAATTGGACTGAAATTGGACTGATTTAGCTAACTTTTGAGTGTTTTTGGACCAAATTTCGATCGGCCTAAGTTAGTGGACTAAAATGGGAAACAACCTAAGTTTTTGGACTAACTTTTGAGAGTTTTTGGACCAAATTTGGATCGGCCTAAGTTAGTGGACTAAAATGGGAAACAACCTAAGTTATTGGACTAAAATTGCAATTTTCTCCTGGATAGACAAAACAAAATAAGCCGGCCCAATAGGCCCAGTCTCTGTCAATAGTAACACATTATTAACATTGGCATGAAATGCAATGTTTTTGTTACCAAGATTATCAATTTGTTCTTGCATCATCTGCATGTTTTTGTTACCATGATTTAGTTAGTAGAAATTGAAGTGTTTTTCTCGACTAAATTAATCACCAAATGATACTCGCTTCTCATATGATTATTTAATCCTAAACTGAATAAACCTCTGTGGAATTTGTTGGAAATGTTTTTAGTGATTGAAAAAATGGTAAAATTGAATATACTTTCCTTAATGTTCATCTTTTATTAATTTTAACAATTGATTGCTATATATTGAAGTTATTTTATTTTTTAATTTTCTTATCAACGAACACAAATTGATATTTTCATCGACCGGCGTGGATGACATGACAATGTCGTGCAATTGCCACAAGTGATTGTTATGTTTATCTTAAACTTCAAGTTTTATTTATGGAGAGAAAGAATTAAGTGTTATTCAGAAAGAACACTATAATAACAATTATTATTATTATTATTATTATTATTATTATTATTATTATTGTTATTATTATTATTATTATTATTATTATTATTATTATTATCCCCCCTATATATTAATACAGAATGCGTTGAGCCTACGTGGCTGCTTCTGGTGCTTCGGAATCCTATGTGGCAAAATTACATGCTTCGTTATTAGGCTTGGATAAATTTTAATTTAATTCCAAACCAAAAATAATTAGGTTCGGATTACCATAAATATGTTGATTATTTATGGTCATGTTAATGTATATATTGTATTTTAATATCATTCTTTATTATAACTATTGAATTGTATATATATTTTAAAAGTTAGTAACTTTTGTATTTTTTATCAGTTTTACATATGTAATATATCAAATTAATCTTCTTTTGATGAGCTTCGA